GGTGACCCGGACCAGCCTCAGGACGACAAGCGCGTCGATTCACCACACGGACTTCCTGGTGAGCACGAAGATCATGGAGACCAAGACGATACCCCGCACGGCCGAGACCATCTACACCGACACAGCTCCGACAAGGGTTCGTGGCACGGAAGTGGGAGCGTCGACGGTCGTTTTCCTCCCCCACCCGATGCAGGCGGCGACGAGCAGCAGCCGCCGGGAGTCGGCGGAGGTCGTGGTGTGGACGGCCCCAGGACTGCCGATAACCGCGACGACCACAACTCGCCACTATCGCTTGCTGGCAGCGGCTCTGTGGGTGCGGCGCACGACGTGGGAGCTGGGAATGGCGAGGTGCGTCCGAGCGAGGTCCAGCCTCAGTAACTAAAGGTAACGCAGATCACTTTACGCTGCATGGGCTGAGGTTATCGACCCACACCATAAGCTACCAAAATTACCAAAATTGAAACAAACTTACACAAGTCCTGAAATTTGTTGACAACAACCTGTTGTGAAGGTGTGGTTTCTGTACCTCCACGATACTAGAGTAAAGTGGCGATGGTTAGATGTCACGGTGCTCGTCAGGTGCCTGCCTGCATTGGTGTATAAATGGCGGATTGTGCAATACGTTGGGGCTGCAATTGGTGATCGGCTGCAGTGGCTGAGTTTATCGTAGAGTCTGGTAGGCTACCGCAGCATCGTTTTCAAACATGGCAGCATCCAGTACAGCAGAATGGCAGCATCCAGTACAGCAGAATGGCAGCATCCAGTACAGAAGAATGGCAGTATCCAGTATAGAAGAATGACAATGTATGGTAGGAATAGTTGTATGCATTGTGGTGTATGGTAGAAGGGCGTTGAAAATAATAAGAAAAGCAAGGGTAGAGTCAATAACTTCTCATATCACCCCACTCACTCACGCTGCCTTGGAATAGCGACAGCGGACGTTCATCAATGGGGGAGGCCGAGTCCAAAAGAGGACCCAGCGCTGCAACCACCGACATCCCGAGTCAATGAATGAAGTCGAATACGATCATCAAAGTTATTGAGGTTGTCTATTCGGAAAGTCGAATAGAAAAGAAGGTACTATAGAAATGATCCTGTAAAAGTACGGTCTTGAGTTGCAATCCACAAACTTGCCGTGCACTGATGTCTACCAACTATCCATACGCGCGACCGCAATGGCGACTGCGCAGGCCATTGGCCAAACCACTTCAACATCCTTCACTCTGT